GTCGACGCTACCGCATACGCCAGGAGTAGTTTTCCCAACCACTGAACACTTATAGGGAAACATAGAAGGTTCTCAATCGGGCAGCATGGCTCAAGCGGTTAGGGCGCCGCCCGTACTAGCCCTCCGGTTCATGTCTAAACCCTACCGAGGTCATCATTTAGTGCCCTGATGGCACAAAATTGGGGGGGAGGGGCGGCAGCCGAAGCACCAAAGGAAAACCTACACCAAGAGACAGGTGCTGATCAAAGGGAGCCACGTCGATGAGCTTCATCATCTGCACTCGAATGTCCTGCAGTTTGGAGGAGCTGTCGACCCGGAGGACAAAGTCGTCCCTCGCGCCACGCGTTCTTGAAGACCGTCGCAAGGCAGAACTGGGACACTCTGGCGCACCGGCAGGGACTGTCTTCTCTGCCAGGGATCTGTCGAGGGGAGCCTCGGAGGAAAAACTGCTGTCTGCAGCAGCAGACGCCTGAAAAAAGAGAAGAGCAGACAAAAACTTACAAGGAGAGAAGGGGATGCAGTTCAAGAATACACAGAGAAGTAATCAGTAAAAGAGCGTTGCAGATGATGGCCGTTTCTTGGCGGGGAAAAGGCAAAACAAAAGAATCTAGAGGTGTTACTTTTGGGGTTGCACGAAACCCCATACTAGCAGTACAGATACTAAATACTCTTATTCACTTTCAGTCGGTGTCAACAGGTCGTAGTATAAACTTATTTACTCCAAGTTAGAGATTAATTGCCACGGAAATTCTAAAAGCAACAAGGTGTTAATGTGCTGACATCAAAACTACCAATACTCATAAGAGAATCGATTGAAATTTTCGAATCTTTCCAAACAGAAAATATTACTTAAATAAGTTCCTAGTACGAATAAAGAGGAAACATAAAAGGTGGTTGTTCCAGATGGCACAGTATACGGACCTGTGGTCCTGCGAAAACGTCAAAAATTCATTTTATCAGAAAAATACCATGTACCTAGATCACTGGAAATGAATTTACATACATTAAGGAGTTGAATCGCTTACAAGTTGTCTGGCTGTGAGGACATCATATTTTAGATACTTCACATAAAAAACGGCAACTTATTTCTGCAAGAACAAGTGAGTGAAGAGAAGCCACAATCACAAAGAAGTGGATATCGGAAGTGATCTTTTTAAGTAAGCAAAGTAGAACTAGCAAACTTCTGCAAGATCATGTTGCATGCAAGTTAGTGCCCCCCCCTCCCTTAGCGAATGGACTATCATTTTTTATTTGAAGACAAATCACAGTATCTCGGATGGAGTCGCATTGGATATTGCTAAAATAATTTTCGTCATGAATGCACAAATACTGCAACTTTTCAGTTCACCCGTCCTAAAAGGTTACGGGTAACACTGCCAATAAATGTGGCGACAGGCGCTACACCTACCTCACACATTCGTTCCAAGACTGACATCTGCCGCTCTTACGCGTGCTATACAAGTAAGGCTAATCTAACGACTAGGTTGGTCAATGTACTAAATCGGACGCTCTTTTAAATTAATCCAACGCACTATCATTCGAGGCTTGGGAGATTGCCAACTGGTTTGGCGACTAAAATGCAATGATCCATTTACAGTTGGGTGAACATGTTAACCGTCAACCTTGCGCGGTCGGAAATATGGATGCCTGTTACGCGTATTGCGTAGAGAGCGGCACGTGCGCAATCGGCGTAGACGTGGGTTTAATCGCATCAGACACTTTTGTCAACATCATTTTCTTGTCGATTAGACCTTTCGAAGATACAAACGTGGAAGACATGGGAAGAGAGAGAGAATGAAGTTTATGGTACGCAGGAAATTACTACTATCGCCAGCTGCAACGGCGGCAGCCCTAATATAGCCGGTAACCCAC